ATATGAAAAGAATTGTGCATAAAGATTGTAATCAGATCCCACATAAGGTGGAACCCCAAAATACTTAGTAATTGCTAAAATGATTGGTGGTAAATATAGAATATAGAAAAGCGATGTAATAGCTAATAGTTGAATTGTCATTTTACGATGTTTTCGCCATTGAACATGTTGATGAAAACGACTTTTCTGATAAATGGTACGTAAGACAAGAAAAAAGCTACCAAATCCAATAAAGAAAGATGACGCAAATCCACCAGTAATAAATTCATAAAGTGTAAATGATTCACTATTATACACACAACTGGAATAACCACATAACGGCATTGTATAAAAAAAATTTCTTTTACAATCATTAATAGGAGTTATTATTGCATAACAAATTACACCATACATAACAATTAGTAATATTGGAATGTAATGAAAAAAGAGACGTCTCTTTTTTGTTGATACCCATTTGTTATGAAATATAAGAATATGTCGTTCAATTGAAGCCCATGCTACTAATTTAGCTGTTGACGTATAAATACAAGTATCAAGAAACTTCCAAATCATACAGAATGTTGGAGTTTGTGACCAAACTACATTGAATAAATAAACATGCATCATGGCAGGAGCGACTGTCGTTTCCCATATAAGACACATGCATAAGAGAACTATTATTACATGATTATGTAATGTATGACGAAGAGTTGGATCAAATAGAAGATGAAAAAGAAGAAACAAAGCACATACAATCGATAGAATAGTTGGTATAAGAAATAGCCAAAAACGACCTATATAACTAATAGCGATATCAGGACTACTAAATCGTATTGGAGTAATACTTGAATTTTTAATTGATGACGACATTCTACTCGATACAAACTTTTGAAAATGATGTCTATATTAAAAAAAGATGCTTTATTAAATATAAAAATGATGTTAGAATAGCGTAAATATCATGAAAAATTTCTTCAGAAGCGCCGAATAATAAATTAATGAGAAAAGTTGAATGTACTTATATTTATTTTTAACAGCAATGAAAATGTTTTATCTAGTTTAATAATAACTATTCATGATAATATATAACATATACTATATATTAGCATATAATTCAAAAAAAATGATGTTGCTATAACTCGGAGAATGAAATGCGACCTATATTCTTGAATATACAGAATTTTCATAGTTAAAATAAAACACAAGAGTATATCTACTCTATTTAAATCTAGAAGAAAAACATACTTGAGTTTATTCATGTACGTCATAAATGAAATATGAAGTAAGCAATACTATTTATATACATAATCTACATTTAAAAACGTGCTCACTTTTCCAATTTATATAATTAAAAATTTTAATAGGCACAATAATTATCTTATAGCTTTTACATCTACTTAAAAAGACATTTCAACATACTTCTTGTAAGCAAGGTTAATTTATTAATACTATAAATACGATCTTTGAACTTTCAGAATGTCTACAAAATATCATGAATAATAATGAACGCATATACGCATTTACATTTCAATTCTTTTGTATTAATATTCACTTCATTTGGGATCGATCAATTTTATTAAAAAACTTTCCACATAAAAACATGCGTTGATCAATTAGGAATTGCGAGTGAATGTGAATGTGTACGAAGGATATATGTAATACCTTTAATTTTAAATCCACACCCTCAAGATGTTTATTCTGTTTGTAGTGTTCTCAGAGATAATAAAAAAAATATGATGAAATTAGAATTAGAATATGTATGAATTTATTTTGTTGAAGATGCATGTGAGTGT